ACTCGATAAAAATCTGCAAAAATAACACTAAGGACAGAGTGAAAATCAGCAAGAAGCATGAAAGCAATAAGATGATAATAAACAGCTTAAAGTTAATCTAACAACATATATGAAAATAAATAATAAACTTAACTTAGTTAAAGTACATGATAGAGAGAATAAAAATGAGAAGCGAGAAAGGCAATTACATTCAATATCGTCTCATTGTGCTGTCATAGTAAATTGTAATAACACCACAATATCTAATCGCCCGGGCATAGAACATTGAGCTATTTTTTAAGAAAATAATATTTTTCAAGCCTTATTACAACTTTCATCAAGCTTATTATCAAAGCACAAGTAGAGATAATGAAAATAATAATAGACTATGCTGGTGCTTATGGTACCCGCACGTACGTTATTTATTTATATAATTCATAGCTGGAATTGGGTCACATAAAGATTTTTTTACAATTTTTTTTTATGTAAATTATATTTTTAAGAGTAACTTTTATAGTCGCGCGTATTCGACCTTGCCCGATGCACATTTTTCATTCGCTCTCTTCAATAATTCTCTTAAAACCGCTGTTGGTTTCTGCATAACTTTGCATGACAGGCAGCAACAGAAGTAAACAGTGGAGAAAAAAAAAATATGTGCATAAAAATGTTTTTTTATTATTATTATTTAAGTTTCGCTTATGTAAATGAAATAATGTCTATAAATGGAACTGCTGTAATTGAGTATTTTTACAATCCAGCTCTAGCTACAAAAAAAGCTTTAAATCAATTAATATTTTCAACTAGTATGTAAATTTTTCTTATATTATAGAATCTATCGATAAGTGTATGAATTGAACAGTCAGGAACAACTGCGGTGAAATATATTTCATCATCTTGATAAAAAAAACAAGCTGTTTAACTTGATTCCATTATATGAATTTGAATGGTGTGTAAATCAAGACATAGGTACTTAAAAAGGATAAAATGAACTCGATTATATGTTAAGTTACTTGCAAAAATAGTCTTTATGATCGAGTAACGGGAGTTTGGATTGTTACTTTTGACAGAATCATGTGCTAGAGCTGTTTTGACTAAGTAGGTTGTTAGTATGTTCTATAATTGAGTTATTGATTGGATTTTTGGTATTTTAGAATTAAACTTACTTTTATTTGAACTTTGCTTTCTCAGAATTGAGATGGGAGCTTTTGGGAGCTTACTACTATCTTTTTGTGACTCAAGAGCCAGTTTTAAAGACTACTCAGAGTACCTGACCTAGTCACAATCAAATATTGCTTATATCCTGAAGTGGAACCCTTAAAAACTGGCCTAACCTTGACTTCCTCCTTCTCTTAATGTTTCTAAACCTCAAGACTTTCTCCTCCACATGTCATCTAGTTTTAAACATAATTTTCCAGACAAGATTCAAAATCAATATCCAATAAATCATTTCACATTTAATCCTCAACAAACGAATCGAACTCTAATAGCAATTCAACAATAAATCATAAATCAAAAGAAGTTCAAAAGATTTCCAAACATTAAAATCAATTTACATTTTTTAAGGTCAAAAAAGCAACAAACTTCATCTCTTCAACTTTCACCTTTTGAATGAGATTTACATACCGCTAAAATGCTCCAATAACCTTTTAATTTCAATTGCTTTAATATCTTTCATGATCAAAGACCACAGTCATTGCCTCCACATCCAATGCTGATGAAAGCACGTAATTTCTTGTTCTGGTAAAAGTTCAAATAACAATTTAATAATTTAAATAGCACAAAATGTCGATTACAGCATTTCGAAAAGTGTGTTTTGCATTGCTTTTTTATGATATCATATGGGGGCTTTCATAAATGATGTCTAAGTTTGAGGGATAAAAATTTGTGACATTTACAAAACAAAATGTGGAAATTTTGTTGAAAAATGAGATGAAAGCTTAAAATTCTCAACTTTTCATGAACGTAATTTATGAATGATCTCAATAATTTCTCTCTCTCACCCATTTCTCGTTATGTCGATCTCGTAGATCGGTCGAGAGATATTGCGAAAAAAAAAATAATAACTTAAAATGTAAAGCAAGCCTATCATTACACAATTAAAAAAGTATCTTACCAATAAACTTCTTTAATAATGATTTAAATGAGTGAGGTCGAGACGAAAAGTTCCAATATCGATGATCGAATTCAGCTCAAAATATCAGTTGCTTAACATGTTGTAGTCATTTTTTTTCGGCAGCAATAACGATGTTGCATTTAATGTCGAAGATATATTAAAGAAGAAGAAGGTTGGGAAGGAAATCAGGTTAGTAGGGGAAATGATTATTGTTATTATTAAAAAAAATTGTCTTAAATGCTCGACTTTTCCATGGCAGAAACACAGATTGTTATCAACAAAAACTCTCGTTTATAATTCAAGTCGCAATTTTTTTTTGCCAAAGAAATTACAAAAATATAAAATAAAAATTCCATGCTTCATGCTCTGTGTACAGATTCTTGTAACTACTATTTTTTTCGTACAATTTTGATAAATGTTTGCTATTAGCATAAAACATAAACATTTGTTTCCTACTCGCAAATATATGTCTAATAATGCGGCAGCATATTTCCAATCATTCGATGCAGTGCACAAATGAAAAATGGGAGAGAAACTGCAATAGGAATAGATGAATATGTGCATGGGTCTCTTTTGTAAAGATTTTTCAAGGGATCGAGACTTTTTGTAGTGATAGATTGTTGTTTCTTAAGACTAATTATATTTTAAGAAAGTCATTGTGTTGGATCAGATAGGAATCTTGAGTTTTAAGCTACATATGTAGGCTAATCTGTTAGTCTAGCAGGAAGGACTCTGTAGTCGAATGGCTTTGCAACAGAATGGGAACCAAAAACTCTTTTTATGAGCACGCGGGTTCGATTCCCATCAGAAAGAACAATTTCTCAATAATTAAATAGAACGTGGTTCAATTCTGAGAGGAATCGAGATATAATGTCTAGTCATAAGTTTGATGTAAGGCCCCATTAAAGACAAATTTACAGAATGTTTAAATTTCTTGTCACTTTATCTAGTTCAACCATGTCTAGTATTCTAATCAGATACAATAGGAAGAGGAAAAGCTAGTTCAAAGATATAATTTCAATTAAAGCTTTAGCGCTGCATAGAAATGACAACAAGCTTAGCTTGACCAGATTGTAGTGACTTCAGACTTGTGATTCACTAAACCAAGCTCCTCGAAAAATCACTGAGTGTCCAAAGCTCTTGGTTCCAAGAAAACTTCAAGCTAGAAGACTGAAAAGTACTCAAAAAACCAAAACAGACCAGAATTATCGTAATAAAACTTTCATTCGCATTCGCTTGAATAAGCTTACACTAATAGCACCATTATGCCTCAACAAGAGATTGCAATTTATAAACAATAAATCATCGACGTACCGGACACGTTTGTATTTTTGCTTATGCATGCTTGCCTTTTGGTTTTTTGGGTGAACGAGTTTCTGACACTTTCGAGTTTTACTTTACAGCCGTCTCTGACTCAATTCAATTTTCGCTGATGATTTTTGCTACTGATTTTAATAGAGTGTAATTTAGTATTTATATTGCCGTCTCCTTATCGGTTAGTTCCAATTTTTTATTATTCATTATTGTTTCTCCAACTTTATAAATTGCCAAATGCAATAGCTTTTAATATGCTTTAACCAAGATGTATGTTTTCCTTCATACCGATAAGGTAAAATAATGCGAGCATAACAATAAATTTTTGTTCCTTCCAGCAGTGTTTGCTCCAGTTAAATGCTTGGTAGTTGCTCTCCTCCTGCAAACAACATTCACTCCGATCAGTGGCTGAGTGATAAAATGAATGTTTCATTTTGATTAATTTAATTACGCTCATTAATTTAATTTATTGTGTATGAATATTTAGATTGTGAAATATATGAAGATGATGATCGTAGAGTCTGCATGAGACGGAACATATCTTGTCCATTAATTGAAGTTTTTACGCGCTCTGAAAATTTATTGATCACCATTAGACGAAGAAGGAAAAAAAAATTACCATAAAAATTATTGTTGTTGTGATTCAATCGTTCATGAAGCGCACTTTTTTTTCCTGGTTGGAGATCATTAATTTATTGACAGTCGATGCAATCATGATTTGTTTTATTGGTGCTTAGTTTCATTTTCCTCATTAGACAATTAACTTGTTCATATGGTTCAATGAATTGCGCAATAGCTTGGCGATGGGGAAACAGTTGGTCCCGTAGATTAAGTCCTCCTTCTTCTAGTCACTGACTAAGCAAATCAACAGAATTGACTTTCCCAAGCTTTAATTCTCACTATTCAAGAATGAAAAATCAACTCAATTTATTTCTAATCTAATTTTATAGTCATGTTAAATGTCGATTCCAATCTCATCGAGATAATCAGCATGCTATCAATTACAACCGATTTCACTTACTGTAAAGCGCAGCTTAAGGTGCCAAACAGATGCAAATGCACAATTTGAGGTGTTGCTCAAGAATTTTCTCACCAACGCAATCAAGGCAGGGAATTAAAAGAAATTAGATTTGACGTTGATACGTAAAGTCATTGCCATGCACTATTTTGTTCATGCATGATTTCATCTTGTTATATGTAACTGCTAAAGGCCGTTTTTACTTTAAAACTGGCTTAATGAAATGCAATTGCACTCACTTGTTACTGCTGATGCTGACGCAATTGCTGATGGTAATAAAATCTTTTTTTCTGATACATTTTTATTGCTTAAAATACAGACAGTTGCACTTTATATATGAAAATGTTTTTCCTTTATTAAATTTTCTCTTGCATACCTCACATATAATGCAACATTACAGTTGTTATTAATATTGTGCAGTCGCTGACTCTCGTATGTCAATTTACATTTTAACTTAATTTATTATTGCGTGAATCTTTCCTCACTTTTCCTTGAAATATTTATTTTATGGATCATGTTACGATGTTGTGTAAGATGATGAAACTTTTTTTGGGGGAAATTATCACGAATAAGCCTTTAAACTAAGTGCTGTGGTAGTGTAAAGTTATATTGACACTGGTTTGGTTCTTGATCATTCGCAATGCCAGAATCGGAGCTTATAGTTTCATAAATCCATTCAAGAGCAGAGGAAACGTTGGCGTATACTCCTGCATAACGAGGATCACCACAACTACATCCGAAACTTGTTATTCCAAATAATATGCCATCAGATTTACGAACTAATGGTCCACCACTGTCGCCTTAAATAAAATATGAAATATTCATTATTAGACGTTATATTTGTGTTAAGCTTTGATTTCTTTACCTTGACAAGCATCAACTTTTCCCCCAATTCTTCTGGCGCATATCATTCTTTCAGTTATTACAAACATGTTTTGATAATCTTTAGAACAGCTCTCAGTACTTTGAACTTGAACCATAGCACGAAGTAGCACATCAGAAGTTTTTCCAAACTCAGTCCTCCCCCAGCCACTGATAAAAACATCATCTCCTTCATTCAATTGATCATAAACTGTTGGCAATTTTGCAAATTTTACAACTGAAGGAAAACTTTTCACTTCATAAAGTCTTAGTAATGAAAAATCATAGTCATTAGATATAGTATCATACATTGGATGATTATAAATGTATTTAACATTGATTGACATTCCACTACCATCTTTTGGCGTGCTTGTTCCAACTCTAACTGTTAAGATTTTATCAGGAACATGTTCATCAAAACAATGTGCTGCTGATAAAACAAATTCCTTTGAAATCAATGATCCACCACACGACTGGCGTGAATTCCAAAAAGTCGCTACTTGATAAGGCACTTCCGCAATGCTGATTTTATGTCCACCAAGGATTTTATTTGATGTGTGACAGAATGATGTTGTCAGAAGAGAAAATGACAATAAAAGTTGAGAAATCATATCTAATTTTGATGTTTTTTTAAACTAAATTCCAATGTATTTTATAAGGTTGTAGCTAGTTCGACTTGTACTCGAATGACTATATCAGAAATGATAACTAATGATCTGAATCGTGCAACTTTTATATTCTTCAAAAATAATTCTCAAAAGCCATCAAAAACATTCAAGTTCAATAAATCTTTCAACAAAACAATTCAAAATCAAATTTATTACAGAACTCAAAATTCCTCAAAGACATGCAACAATGAACTTTTTCGAAAAACTGCTCATAAATATTACTTACACTCACTCAACAAAGCATCAGTTAAAATTTATATCCATTCATCAATAATTAGTCTTCAAAATCTGATTAATGAATTTATTTTGTCAATTTAAATCTTAAGTTGATTTATTATTCGTTAATTTTTCGCGCGAATCTTTTTTCGCATGGATGATGTTACGCTGTTATGCAAGACCATGAAACTCTTTATTATTTTTTTGGGAAAAATTATTGAGCAGATTATCACGAATAAACATTTATTTAACACTGCGTGATTTCATCTTTAGGGCAATTCCATGAGTGAAAAAATGCAAGTAAAATTCTTTTTGATCAAAATACTCTTAAAATAACACCTTTTTCCGTTCTTTTAAAAATTTATAATTAGAAATAACTCAAGATATTCATTTTAAAATAGGTAATTAAACGTTTAAAGGTCTATTTACTGAAATAATTCAGTTTTTTCGTCGTTAATCGGTTAAGTTTACAAAAATTTCGCTTCTTATATCCTTAAAAAAGTCTTCAAATATCCATTTTTTGTGCTCAAGTATATTTTTAAGCCATAGATATTCACTTTTTCTACTTATTTGTAAACTTTTTCTGTTCTTAAATGCTTTATTCACAGAGAAAATTACAAAATACTGCGTTAATCGGTTAAGTTTTCAGCGCTTTATCCAAAACCAACAAAAAACAGAAAATTTGAATTTTGAATTCCCGTTAAATTTATTTATTGCTAAGAATAATTTCTCTTCGAAAAATAACATTTTATTGGGTTAATAATGAATTTAATTTGTTTTTTTCATGTGAACATCATAATTTTGTGAAATAATCGTAATAATAATCAAGGCAATGAAAATTAGTTTGAATCTTTTGAAAATTTGTAACGGTAAAAAAAAAATTCAAATTCCTACAAGTAGAAAAATATTACAACTTGCTTTTTCTCAGTTCCCTTTACTCGTGGAATTGCCCTTAAGTAGTTTTCATTGTTTTCGGATTATTTAAATGAGAAATCTTGATAATATGTTTAACTAATTGTGTTGAATGTAAATAGAGTGAACTCAGCTGGGTGGTTTGTTGGTTTTTTAAAATTATCCAATGAATTTTTTTAATACAAATTTGAAGCAATTTATTTAAAATATCTTTTTTATTATCTCATTGAAATGGGTTTTAAAAAATTATTAAGTGCAATTTATTTGGTTTAATTTTCCTTTATTTAATTTGAATTAATTTGCAATTCGGAAGAAATTTGTTTTTAATTACTTATTAAGTCTTGGATGAATAGTGAATTTTGAGGAATGAATGATTCTAAATTTATATTTGAACAATACCATAACATACCCGATCGGCACACATTGAAATGTTTGGCACTCGGTAGCCGGGTTGATAATTGAATAAGTACCAACATACAGACGCTTAGAAGCCATTTCCAACTAGATGCTAAGTGGTTGCCACATAGATGCTATTTCCAATTCATTTCAATGTGTGCTGATCGGGATTGACTCAATTATTCGAACATTATTCGAAATTTTGGGGTTTAAAACAGCAAAGCTTCATCATTAAGTTTTAAGATCTATAGCTCAAAATGATGCTAATCATGTTTTGATGACAATTCTGAGGATTACGATAGAATCTAGTCAAAAAATTAATTTTGTCGCTATTTTGACTCTGAAAATTTAAATTTTAGCATCAAATCATCAACATCTCACTTAAGAGTTCCTCAAACTTCAAATCGCTTATCACGTTGCATCATAAAAACTCTTATTTTCAAGGAAATAATCTCCAAGCATCAACAAGAGGTTGTTAACATCATTCTCTTTTAATTAATTAATTTTATTTCGTAATAAAAAATTGATGAGATCAACGAGATAAGTGACAAATTCAGAGACAAAGAATATTCTTATTAAGAATAAAATTTACAACCAAAGCATTTACATTTTACAACAATCTTCATGTTAAATATCATATTAAATTAATTCCCATGAATTCAAAGCTCTTAAAAAGTTCCATGTACCTTACACATGTGCAATTAAGTTTGCTGATTTTGTAATGATATAAAAAAAATATTTAAATCATTTTAAATCTCCAAAAAAGAAGGAGAAAAATTTCCAACAAAACAAAAATTTCACTTTAAACTAAAAAAATAAAAATGAACGCAAAAGAAGTAAAAATAAAAATTCTTGTGGGCTTAAAAAAAACCAACAAGATTGAAATGAAAATAAGTAAATTGTCATTTAATTTAAAGAGACATAAATCTTGTCTTTAATTCGCAATAACTTTGTTTTTTACGTATGTGCATATAACAAGCGATACAAGTGTCATTTACAATAAAATAAAATGCGATTTTGCAACACTCAACGGTTGAGGCTAAAAAAATGAAACATGAAAATAAATTTGTAAAAGCTACATGCATGTATGCTGTTTTCGGAAGGGATTATTTTATTGAATAATAACAGTTTCTTTTATGCGTAATGACGATAAAATGTAAATTGTGACTGTTTACTTAACAATAATCGTCTTTGGGGGTCGATGGACGAATGGGAATTTTGTGTGAGCTTTGCGGATGCATTTTTTGCAGTTATGATCTGAATTTTTGAGCATGCAATCCTAAATGTCCCCAGAATAATTCATAACATCGTAAATCCAGTCTAAAGCTGATGTAACTTTTGCATAAACATCAGGTGACTTTGGATATCCACAACCATCGCCGAAACTTGTTACTCCAAATAAAAGCCCATCTGATTCTCGAAATAGAGGTCCACCGCTATCACCTGATGAAGATAATTAAGATAATTAATTAAGATCAAAGAATATCAAGCTGAGATCTCGATATTTTTGGATCCTCATGACTGTGGCTTATTCCTTACCTATGCATGGACTTGTTACTCCATTTTCATGTACAGCACAAATCATTCTTGATGTTAAAAATCCAGCATTTGCTTCATAACATTTTTCAAAGTTGAAAATTTTTGCAGTTCCACCAAGAAGAACATCCGATGATTTTCCAGTTTCTGTCATTCCCCATCCACTAACAAAAACTTCATCTCCATCAAAAAGTTTATCGAAAATTGATGGAAGTCTTGCAAATTGTACAACTTTTGGAAATTCGTAAACATCTTCCAATTGCATTAAGGCGAAATCGTAGTCAATTTTATGTTCGTTGTATTTATGATGAGTAATAATTCTTTTAACATTTATTGTCAATCCACTACCATCATTAAGGACACTCGTTCCTACTTTAACAGAATAATGCTCGGGGTTATAGCTATCTCCAAAATTATGAGCAGCAGACAGGACGAAGTTCCATGATATTAATGATCCACCACAGCAAAAGCGTGAATTTGTAAGAATTGCAACTTGAAATGGAACTTGTTCTATGCTTACTTCTTGTCCACCATACATTCTGTTTAATTTTGCGGAGAATGATGTGGATAGAAGAGTAAATAAGCATAATAGATGAAAAATCATCATTAATGTCTTCAAATTTTGTGGTTTTTAAGCTAGTTTAATTGATATTTTTCAATTTGTGGAATCTTTGAAATCCTAAACTTGGTATAGTTGACAAAGTAATGCTAACAAATGCTCTGAATTTCTCGACTTTTATATTTTTTAAAAATCATTTTCAAAAATCCATCAAAAACATCCAAGTTCAATAAATCTTTCAACAAAACAATTCAAAATCAAATTTATTACAGAACTCAAAATTCCTCAAAGACATGCAACAATGAACTTTTCTCCAAAACTGCTCATAAATAATACTTACACTCACTCAACAAAGCAACAACAATTAAAATTTATATCTATTCATCAATAAGTAGTCTTCATAATCTGATTAATGAATTCTAGCTTAAAATGATTCTGTCGAAAATAAGAATTGATGGATGGTCAGAAAGTAATTAGTTCCTGAATATCTCACCTTGTGTTTTGCAATAAAAAAACGTTATTTTACTCAATATTCCGTTATATTCACATTAAATTATTTAATTGCTTCAAAAAAGTTTCTCTTCTTATTTTCTTAATTTTCGTCTTCTCCATTAGAACTGTTTAGGTGCTTAGCATACGTAACTTACTCATTGATACATCAATAACATGATTTTATTTAACAAAACAACTGTAATGTTGATGATGATGGGGTTATTGAGATAACCTAAAGTCTACGGAAGTGGCTTCTTAATGACTCTTAATCTAATTCATGAATACATCATTTTGAAAAAAAAATCTCAAGATCTTTCATCAAATAAAAAGAAGAAGGAGCTTCATTTAAATTAAAATAGTGACTTCTTCATGAAATGAGTCGACAGATTATTTTGAGTTTGTGTATAGCGGTGCTAAAAGACGTGATGTTTAAATAAGGTGTAAGTCCTTGATGCAGTCGTGTAAACAGACATGATGAGAAGTTGGAAGTGTTCATGAATTTCGGATTGGCTTTTTTTTGGATGACGTGTATGGATTGATTTGGAAGTTGTCTGATGATGATTGATTTGGGCGTAATAGTTGATACATCTAGTCTTAAACTAGATTTTTTAAGGTTCTCAATTGTTGGGAAATAAATTTTTCTATCAAAATCGGATTTCTGGGATCGTTCAGAGTACCTCGACCTAGTCTGGGTTTTTTATACTTAAGAATTTGCTCCCGAAGAGCCAGAAGAATTGTTAAAATCCATTTCTGTAAGGAACCTCACTTATGAACGACCCCCAACAGCAAACATTATTATTATAATTTTTTGGCAACATTCACGATGGGATTAATTTTATTTATTCACAACAAGCTCACCAAATAACAAAAAATAGCTCCGAGTCTACACAATACTTAATTTAGAATCTCAGTCAGCTAATGACCTTAATAGAAATTATTTTATTATACTTTACCATTTCTGTAGTAGATTTTAAATGTCTTTCAAAAGTTCATGAGAAATCTACATTAATGCCGGAACAGATGCGATAGTCGAAATTAAATAATAGTTGAAAAACCACAAAATATAATTATTGCATAAATGGACATTCAATTGATACTGCTATATATAGTCAGTAATGAGACGAGGCTGAAAGGTCAGCAAAGATTTTTTTTATTCGTCAGCAAACGTAATTGAAGATAAATCAAAATGAATAAGTAAGTAAGTAGAAATAAATACATTCGTGTGACTCGTGCCTATTGTGTGACATAAAGAAATCTCATATTAACAAAATATAGAAATATGAATTGTGCGGATACAATGGAATGCTATTGTACGCAAGATATGCTGTTGTTTATTTTATTTTATTTTATAAAGAGAAAGGATCTCTCGTCACATATGGGAATCTGTTGAATAATCATTAAAAACGAGAGTGAGCCAGTGAAGTAGATGGAAAGTGGGAAATGCTAGAGTTGGTTACATAGCGGTGGCATTGTTCTGTAGAAATTGGTTGGAGTTAAAAGACTTAAGATGTCAAACTTTTAGATGGGTTTAAGGAAGGAGGCCTGAAGCTAATGACATGCATAAGATTGTTAAATGAATGTAGGTTCATCAGGTCATAGAACTCAAACCTAGTTCCATTGCATAAGTTTTTATTGGGATTCGAACCTCTCCTTTGATGACATTTGTATTTATACCCAAAATAATAAAGTATTAAGATAATAGAGAGTGTGGCAATACTTAAATCACTCTGCCACTGTGTTACGTCAGCTTGCAAGCCTCCTCAACAAAATAATTACCACGATCACATGCGAGTCACCAAGTCTAGCAAAGAAAGATCAAGTAGTTAATGGAACATTTATAATAAATAATGAAATTGAACAAAAAAAGCTATTAAGAAATGACAGATCAATTGCATGGATTTCAATCATAAAGAGACTTGCCCATAACTCATACATGTTTTGGCATGATATTTCGCAAGATATAGTCAAGTCGAAATACGAGAATTCATAATAAAAATTGCTTTTTTATGTTGAACTTTCTCCAATTTCAATTTTCATTTCAATGGAATATTTTTGATATGTTGTGGATATGTGTTTCTTTGAGTGGCTCATTGTTAAAATCACCACACATTTAATCTCATGTATGATAAATTTTTAAACGCATAGCACCGCCAAATGAGTGTATAAGAGGCAACAAGCTATCAAAAAAATCAACAACTAGTTTACAATAAAATTGTAGCAATAAACTTAAAGAATTGTTGATGCTGAACGGTATTGAGATCATCAGAGATAATTTTTATGGATCTTTTGACTATAAAACGTTCTATTTTTATTGCCGAAAGTTTGTTGGAGATAAAGAAGTTCGAGAGAAATGAAAGTTAATGAAATTGTAGGTGAAGTAGGCAAGGAATAGCTTGAGATGAATACAAAATGAGCTAGATGAAGAATTGATAATCTTTTTTGAAGTGTTGGCTTGTTGAAACTAAGGAGGAATCTAAAATACGAAAGAATGGCTGCAAGCTGCATGTTAAATTGCTGGATTCTTAAATCATTGAAGTGATCAAAATTTACTAGTTTTTAAAGCATCTTGAGCTGTTAATTTGAGACACTCTCAAGAAACAAACGTTATGAGGTGGAAATTCAGAGTCAATATTGAACAGCTAATCATCCTCCAACCTTAACCAATTCCTTAAAGTTTCACATACTATTCTCAACATTCCATCTTATCCAAATAACAGAAATTTATCTCCAAAATTCCATCCCAACATCATAAGAATATAAATTACAAAATGTCACTCAATTCGAAAGGTGAAATTCAGCATGTGACCGAAAAAAATGTCCCAAAAAAGCGAGAGCTGATAAAAATCTCTATGATACGTTTTTATAATCTATAACACAAAAGATGAATGTAAAAGTCATGTCGAAAATTGAAAGAGAAAAATTGCCTTACTAAAAATGTATGCCAGACATTCTTATTTACAAAAGGAGACATGAGCAAAAAAAATTGATGAATTAAATTGAAGGAGATAAGAAATGAGGGTCAATAGGCTCATCAGCTTCTCTTTTTTCTTGTCTTAAACGCTAAATTTAGTCATTTCTCATTTCCTCCTTCATGTCTCAGTGGACTCGACACAAGAGCAAAAATTTCCCTTTTCTGTATTGTCTGAAAATGAAAAGTTTTTCTCCTTCGTTGTTATCGTGTCATGTAGCACATTCATGTTAAACATGTACCTATAAATCAATCAATTGTTTTTGGACAGTCGAGGAAACAAAAAAAAAATCTTAAAGTTAAATGCTGGAAGTGCAGTTTAAGTTGTTAAAGGATTGAAATTGCAAATTCATTGGCGTTTTGGGGCAGTGTGGGCTTTTGGATTATGGATGGAACTGATCTTGATACTTAAAAAGGCCTTATTAAAGATTTTGTAAGTTTATAGCTCATATTAGATCCACCTGTCATCCTATTAATGTCCCAATAACCTCAAATCAACGAAACATCTGAATCCAATGAGTCTTAAACAACTTGTTAATGTAAGGCTGAATCAATTTATCGTCAATCCATTAAAAGTAAATACAATGCGCACTAAACCATCCACCTCCATTAACTTTAACTCAATTCCTTTGTTGTCGAGACAATGTCAATGCCGTTTCAAAGTGAAATTTTCCTGTTATGTCGCATAAATATTTTGAAAATTTGTGCCAATGTGAAATTGGAAGGAGAAGTGAATAAAGAAGGAAAACACAAAATAAAAACTGGAATTTCGTGGCCGGCAAATACGTAAAAGAGATTTTTTCTGATAAAATTATAGCTAAATATTTGTGCAAACCAATTCATTTCACATATTATATTGTTATATAAATGTCGGCTAGCATTAAAAACCCAAGAGTTGTTTGGCCTTTAACATAACAAGCTCCAATTACCGAGATCAAGTCTCTCAAATAAAACTGAGAGAATTTAAAGCCGTGGTCCATGAAAAAAGGCCTAATCATGTGAGGAAAAGATTCTTCTTACTTCCAAATGGGAAACCTCATTGTGCCGCGCGTAAAGATTAATTTTTATTTTTACTTCATGCTTTTTTTTTCTGGTAAAGCGAAATTAAAGATAATTTGCGTCTGAAACAAAAAAAAAGCCAGAATAAAAAGTCATCTTTTGACATTGAAACTGAGACTTTTTTGCATCTTCTACCTTTACCACGCTTTTCGTATGTGAAATGTGAAACTTTTTTCGACAAAAAAAAATGATAATATGAATCATAAAGATTTGTAGCGTGAGATAAAGGGAAATGAAAATCGACGACGAATGTTGTGAACTGTAAAAACATGTGTTGACGGTTTAATGAAAAAGAGAGTCACAGCAATTTTCGATTATTAATTTAAATTATTGTAATTTGTGCTTAATGATCGAAAATAACGTGATTTCAATCGATATAAAAATGATTGATACTTTGTTTAATTGGCACTAATTTTTGGGCTGCCTCTTGGAAGAGAAATTTGTTTTTTTTGGGACAATTGTCGTGAAAATATTGAAGCAGTTTAGATTGATGTTGTAGATTATAGTTTGGAAAGTTTTGGCTCTTTGTCAAATTTACAGCGATTTATCGTTTGAAATTGTCAAAAAATATTTTTGACCTTAAGAGCTAGAAGCAATTTCACTGTGAGCCTATGTCAGTGAAGGCCAACCTG